GAGAGAGAGAGAGAGAGAGAGAGAGAATTTTTTTAATATTTATTTTTTAGTTTTTGGCAGACACAACATCTTTGTTTGTATGTGGTGCTGAGGATGGAACCCGGGCCACACGCACGCCAGGCGAGTGCGCCACTACTTGAGCCACATCCCCAGCCCTACACAAAAGTTTAAAAGAGGAATAAAGGGTTTGGTGGGGGCTGTAGTCCTTCTAATATTCTATTAAGAAATTCCTTTCATACAGCAATACGCTGGGAAAGCCTAAATGTCCCTTACATTGCAATGATTTAATTGTGGCCATCATATATTTTTTTCTTTTTTTTAAGAGAGAGAGAGCTTGAACCACATCCCCCGCCCATCATATGTTTTTTAAAGTTATGAAGTAGATTTATATTTACTGAGATAGAAAAATATTCATACTATATTCTTAAGTGGAAAAATAGGTCATACAATAGTAGATAAAAGCAAACAAACAACAATAAAAATTATGAACATGTGGTACAAAAGTCCAGAAAGTAAATTGTCCACCAGGCACTATGTTATACACATATAATCCCAAAGGATTGCAAGTTCAAGGCCAGCCTCAGAAATTTAGTGAGACCCTGTCTCCAAATGAAAAAGGCCAAGTGGGATGGTGCATATCTGTAATCCCAGTGGCTGGGGAGGCTGTGGCAGGAGGATCTAAAGTTCAAAACCAGCCTCAGCAACTTAGTGAGGCCCTAAGCAACTTAGTGAGACCCTGTCTCTAAATAAAATATAAACAAGGGGCTGGGGAGGTGGCTCAGTGGTTAAGTGCCTCTGGGTTCAATTCTAGTACCAAAGTAAATAGATAGATAGATAGATAGATAGATAGATAGATAGATAGATAATAAAAATTAAAAATACTGGGAGGTAGCTCAGTGGTGGAATGCTTGCCTAGCATGCTCAAGAGGCCCCAGGTTCAATCCCCAGTACCATACATACCCACATATACATACTCACCAATATATGTGTGTGTGTGTGTATATAAATATATAAATATACACACATATGTGTATAATTAAAAAAATAATATATATTGTATATAATGTTCACAGTGGTTAATTTATTTCTCTTATTTACATTTCCTTTTTTGCAATAAGTTTTATTATTAAAGAAAATAGTGATATTATTTGCATTTGGACAGAGAGTTACAAGTGAAGATGGCATTTCAATTAAAGAGTACCATCATTTCAATTAAAGAGTACATTGATGTCACACAGGAAATAGGCTAGCTGGAAGCAGGCCTATTTCCCTTGCAGCCAGGGAAAGGCCACTGGGCTGATCCCAGAGTGTACAGTGCCAGCTCAGAAATACTAACTTTCTATTGTGCTGAGCTAAAGAAGCCAGAGTTCATGAAAGTACATTACTGTATGATTCCAGGTACATGACATTTAAGATAAAACCAACTTCTAATCAGAGGAAGCAGGTCAGAGGCTGCCCAGGGAGGAGGAGAGGAGTTGACCACAAAGTGCTACTAGGGAAATTCATGTGCTCTGTATCTTGATTATGCTTACACTTGTCAAGACTCATCAAGCCAGTACACTGAAAGTGAGACATTTTATTGTGTGTAAGTTGTATCTCAATAAAGTTGATTTTAAGGAGAACAGATACCTTCCCTAGTCCAAGATAAAGAAGCCATGGGCCCTGAAGGAATTGAACTCTGGGGAAATATTCCAGCCCAAATGATTACTCTTTAGGGAAACTAAATAAAATGAAATTAAACTTTAAGACATATTTATGGAGTTGAAGTCTAGGAGTAGTTTCTTTAATCCAGTAAGTATCCTAGAATCAATTAACTTAATCTTTGATATTTTTAATAA